AGCCTTTCATGCCGAGGGAGGGGTTTGAGGTGCAGGCTGCGGGGAGCAGGATTACGCTGGTTCTCATGCCACATTGTAACCTGACTATTAGCATAAATTATCAGGGCTGTTTAGTGCGTTGATCATGAAACTCTTTGGTTGTGCGCTTTGTCCTACAGGCAGATGGGGTCCTGAGGGATGACTTTTGATATTCTTTCTTCCCCTAGCACCATTAACTTTAAAGAAATCTCAGCAGCATTTGGAGAGATCTTTCATTCCAGCCATCAAGGACATACTTAGCTTACGGGGCAGGAGGACAGATCACCACACGCTATAATAATATCGATCCCTTTCATTTGTACAGATCCACACGATTATAATGCAGTCCCATCCTTTCTCTCTCTTCACCCTGGAGGGTGTGAGCCAAAGTCATCAGCTTCATATGCAGATAAGGAGGAAATGGTTAGCAATTTGTCCAAGCTCCTGTGGTTGGTGACCGGACCCCTGGACATTTGGGTTTCCCTTGGTACCATTGTTGGGGCACACCTGGGTGACTATTCTGTGTTCCCTGATGGGTGGGTTTGTGCTGTCCCAGCATTTCCAGGCTGTTGCTGGCATGAGTGGAAGGAAACAAGCATTGAGCAAGGAAGGGCTAGAGAGACAGAGCTGGCACATTCATAGATTGGGCTGACCAGGCATAGTCCTCCCTCCTGAAAGCCACATGACTCTCCTCAAAGGCAGGTAGAAAGGCAAACCCTGGCTCTTCCAGGGGTGTGGCCGCTCTGGCAACAGTAAGGCGAGAGGCTGTGCCCCAGACTCACCTGAGGAAGGGCTATGAGCCGTGGCCTCTGGAGCCTCCGAGTCGGGCCCACCAAGAGGCCCACTCACCAGAGGCCAATAGAGGGTGTAAAGCAGGCACGGCATCTTGGAGGAGACTATCCTTGGGTAGCGCAACCTGCCAAGTCCTCAGATCCCTGCATGGAAGCCATTTATAATTCACAAGGGGTCTTGTAACTGTGCCTCACAGCAGCCTATAGGGAGGGTAGGGGAGGGAGAATGGACTCCTGTGCCAATTTTAAAGAAGAGGAAACTGAGGCCAAGTCACAGCATTGGGGTGTGGCAGAGACAGGATTTGAACCTGGGTTCCTCCTGCCATGGTAGTCATGACATTGAGCACCCCAGTGCCACACCTGAATGAGCCCTTGGAGACAGTAGGACTGGAAATGCCCTGCTAGTGCTAAGGACACATCACCCATTTAATGGTATCTTTACAAGAGCTGTTCCCTCAGGGTGATGCCTGGAGGGTTTCATTCCTGGACAGAAAAGAGTCGACATAGTAGTTTATCCTTAGGCCTGCTAGTAAGGTTAGCCCTGGCTGGTGTCTGGGAACTTGGATTTCAGGAGGGGCCATGCCCAGAACTGATAAGGGTGGCTCAGTGTACCTAAACTGTACAAAGGATAGCTGCACACCTGCTTTCCTTCTGGGAGCCTGGAATTTTGTACACAGTAGGCAGAGAATGCCTAGGCGACCGGCCCCCAATAAAAACTATCAGGCACTGAGTCTCTAGTGAGTTTCTCTGGTCGATGGCATTTTGCACATGTTGTCACAATTTGTTGCTGGGGAATTAAGCGAGTCTATGTGACTCCGCTGGGAAAGGCTCTTAGAAGTGTGCACCTGGTTTCTGCTGTCTTTGCCCCCTAAGCCTGTTCCTTTTCTGATTTGCTTTGTCTCCTTTCACTGTAATGAATCATAGCTGTGAGTGAAACTTTGCTGAGTCCTGTGGTCCTTCTAGCAAATCATTGAACCTAGGGGTTGTTTTGGGGATCCCCAGCACAATCCCTAAAGAAATCTTTCTTGTACTGGAATGGAGTCCATACAGAATAACAAATGTTTCATTTGAAAAAGCAATGTGGAGTCAAGGGACTCGGGGTGCCTGAGTTTGAGCCCCTGTTCCTTCAGGCACTTCACCTTTCTGAGCCTTGGTTTCCTCATTTGTGAAACGGGGATAAGTGCAGGGCTGGGGTGAGGGTGAAAGAGTAGTATGCATGGGATGTCATGTAAGGAGAGGGTCAAATGTGGTGGAACAGCGCTCGGAGCCAGACCTCTGGGCTCAGAGCCCACCGTGTAAGACTGGGCGACCCTGGCTAGCTTCCCTAGCTGGCAGCTGGCGAGATTGCTGGACGATCAAATGGGTTAATAATCAGTCCCCTTAAGCAGAATAAGAGAGCCTAGCACACCACAAGCTCTCATTGTTAGCTCGTGGGATTATTATCATCGTTACTATTATGACGATGACTAGTTAAAGAGTGATTATGGATTAAAATATTTTCAATTTAAAATCAGACATGTTAAAATTAAAAACAGATTCCTATGACAAAGAGACACATGAGAAAAAATTTCAAGATAACTGAACTGCTCTATATCTTGGTTATGGCAGTGGTTACACGGCTGTGTGCATTTGTAAAAACCTAGAACTGCACACCAGAAAGAGTGATGTACTGTATGTAAATTTAAAAATAAAAAATTTGAATGTCACTGTATCATTAAAAGCAGGGGGCTCTTTTGTAAAAGAAATGATATTTTCTGCCATGAAATCCGTGGCAAAGACAGTCTCCCTTAATTGTAGTTATTGAAGGAGAAGGAGAGGGAAATGCAAAGAGAGAAAGATGAAATGTGATTTACGGGTTTATTCATTTAGGCCTGAAAGGGATTGATGAAATCTCATTTAAAATTTATGACTTTACATGAAGGAAAGTAAAACACGTTGATTGAGTGTCCCTTTGGAACCCGTGGAGGGCTTTGGAATAAGACACGGTTCTGATGGTTCCCACGGTGAGCCATTTCAGGACTGGTTTGGGCTCCAGGGGAGACAGTGCTGGCAGGAGGATGTGAATAAATCAGACTCTCTTTGTCCTCTGTCGCAGATGGGGCTCCTGCCAGAAAGCAGGGCTGTTGTGGTTCATTGTGACAGCCAGGCAGGTGGCTGGGGAGCGGCAGGCGGTGTTAGAAGCCTAGGACCTTGGTTCATTGGAGGGACTTTGGCTATACTCAGGGATGTGGGTAGGGGTGTAGTGCTTCAGAGGCAGTCAGATAGGCACACGTGAAGAAGCGGGCTGATCAGGCTGAGGGAGAAGAAAGCAGCCTGGGAGGAAAGGAGGACAGCGTCTGTATTCAACTCACTGGAGGCGTTTGGCCCAGGGGGCTGTAGGTGTTTGGCCCAGGGGGCTGTAGGTCTCCGGAGGGCAATCCTGGGACAAACAGGTAGGAGTCACAGGGAGGCAGGTTTTAGCTCCCGCTGAGGACAAGCTTTCTTATCAGTAGAGCCCTCCAAGGATGGAAGGGCCTGGCTCCATAGGTAGTGAGCTCTCTGTCACTGGAGGCATGCAAGTCACGGGTAGATGCGCACATCACAGATGTTCAGGCACAGGATCTTGGGGGTCTCAAACCCTTCCAGTTTGAGAGTCTGTGGCTCTAAAACAATTTCCCAGAGATGTTTTTGGTACCAGCTTGACAGGGTCTGCTTCCCAGTCTGTCTGAAGGGGCCAAACCAGTTTTGTTTCTGTGCCGTTTTGCTCCTGCTCCTCTCCCCTTTTCCTCCAGCCTCTGTCTCCCTCTCTTTGTTCTCCCTTGCCCCTCCTATGCTGGCCTGCAGGGCTGTCCTTGAGTCACCAGGTGAAGGCCCAGGAGTCCATAGACAGCAGTCGGAGAATGAATGAATGGAGAATGAATGTGTTTGCTCTTTTGTCATGTGTTTCTTCATCCAGTCATCTGCTCACCAGACATGTACCTGACCCCCACTTGTCTGTCGTGTTAATTTAAACCATTGCTTTCACACTTATCACATGGTACCATCAGCTCAGCAGCCCTGTGATGCAGGGGGGATTATCCACAATTTACAGACAAGCAAAAACAAGCAGAAAGCATTTTCCTCACCAGGCCTCTACATTTCACCTTGCCCAAGACACTGTGGGGACAGATGTCAGGGTGGGCCAAGCTTGCCTTCTTGTGCAGGTGATACCAGATGGAAGCACCTGGACTGCAAGGCAGGCTGTGATTCAACAGGTCAAAGACGTGCAGACCCCCAGGTCCTGGACCAGGACGCATACCCTCTGTGGGATGGGGAGCCATCCACCTGTGGAGCTGGGGGGTGCATTCCAATGTGGAGGCAGGTACACTCAGGGTCAGATGGAGGGCCTAAAGGCCAAGGCCACTGGACTTGATTCTTTTAGTGTCACTGTGAGCCGAGCAGATGCCAGGCACAGGGAGGAGGGGAGGGTGTGGAGTATCATCTAAGAATTTCTCACTCAGAGAGCCCACATGCTCTCTCTCCTTTCTGTAATGTTCTGGCAGCCTAGATCCACAATGCCTGATTCCAGCCTCTACATGGCTTCCAGGTCTGCAGCTTTGTCCTGGGGACAGGGAGGTTGTGGGGGGAGGGGGTTGCAGAGCATATGTAGTCTGTGAGTCTGTGATATGCAAATGGAAGTCTTGAATAGACCCATTGGGGTCTCAGCTCCAGGGTGGCAGCAGCTGTCCTACATGGCATTGTTCTTTGAAACGCCCTTCACCCTTCAAGTGGAAGGAGAAAAGCCCATCTGTTAGAAGATTCTGCCGTTGGTGAAGTGACACCAGCCCCTCCCAACACCCTGTCGTCTAGTTGAGCTGAAAGCAGATGGCAGCTGGGGCCCTGGGAGGAAGTGTGACAAGACAGGGGCTCTGCCACTGACGTGCTGGGGACTCTGGGAAGTCGCCTGTCCTCTCTGGATCCCTGCTGTCCTGTTGGTAGAACAAAGGCATTGGAGCAGGAGACATGCAGGCATCCGTCCAGGTCTAAGGCAAGCTCTCTTCCACGATTCCTTGCCTAAGAGCTTGTTTTTTCTGTGTGGAGAGCTTCCATCTGCCACGGCAGCCCCCTCATGTTAGACTGTCCCACCAGCTCTCTGCAAGCAGGGGGTTCTAGAAGTGGGGTGCTTGGGACCTGGCAGGGTAAAGGTTGTGTCCCCTTGTCGTCTTCTTCCAGCTCCTGTGGTCATCATTCCACCCCGGAGTGTTCACAACGTCACCGGGGCACAGGTGTACCTGTCCTGTGAGGTGAGGGCTGTGCCTCCCCCAGTCATCACGTGGAAGAAGGTATTTATATCCAAGAACTCGTGTGTGTGCGTGTGTGTGTGTGTGTGTGTGTGTGTGTGTGTGTGTGTAAGAGAGAGACAGAGAGAGAGAAAGGTGTTTTTTTTTCTTTTAAGCATGTTTATGTATGTCTTTCTATGTGGACGCAGGGGATTTTAAAGGGATATCTTATATACCACCCCTCCTCCTCCGTTTATGCTTCGAAACTTTTACCCTAAAGGGGAGTTGTCATTCTTGCTGTGCCATTTGCTCCCCTGGCCACTTGGCTGTCCTGAAAGTTCTGTTTATCTAGCCTAGAGCAGCTGGAGTGAAGTTAGAGCCTCCTTCCCTGGATCTGGGTTTTAGAAAGACTTGGCTGGTGGCAGATGACCCAATCCTATTCCAAAACTACATCTTCTTGCAGATCAATGTTTGAGACTAGCAAGGATCACAGCATATACTGACCCTTTGTCTCAACAGCCCTGAGAAGGGCCATGAAATTCTGAACTGCTTGTGCGCGATGGTGGTGGTGTAGCACCTTTGCTGTCCATCAGGGTGTGCTGTCTGTACATACATTTGGGTTTTAAACGTGACTGACATTTTAATAGGAATAAGAGGTACTAGGATTTCAGCTTTGGAGTCAGTGGGAAGATGAAGACAGCAAGGATGTCTGTGGGGTGGTCTGTATCCAGAAATGCTTTTGCTAACCCACACCTGGTTTTCCTGTTCTCTTAAGGTCACACAGTCTCCTGAGGGAACCCAGGTGCTGGAGGACCTGCCTGGGGACCATGTGAATATAGCTGTTCAGGTGCGAGGGGGCCCTTCTGACCACGAGGCCATGGCCTGGATTTTGGTGAGTTTCTCATTTGTTTGGGATTACAGGCTGTTACTGACTGGCCTTTTTAAAGCTCCCTTTATATTTCTCTAACAGGTTACATATTTCAAAGCTATTCTTAACCATTTCTCACTGGACCTTACAAGAACTGTGAGGAAAGCGGGGCAGGTAGTATAATTCCTATGAGCATAAGTGATCTTCAGCGACAGGCAGAATTGTGGCTCTGGCAAGACACCCATATTCTAATCCCTGCAGCCTTTGAATATGTTAACATTACTGGCAAGAGGGGATTAAAGTTTCAGATGGAATTGAAGTTGCTAATCAGCTGACTTTAATAAGAAAGTTACCCTGGATTATCTGGGTGGGCCCAGTGTTATTGTAAGAGTCCTTTAAATGTGGAAGAGGAAGGCAGGAGAGAGGCGGCCAGAGAGATGGTTGTGTGAGAAACACATGACCCTCTGTTGCTGGCTTTGAAGATGGAGGAAGGGACCATGAGCCAAGGAATGCAGGCAGCCTCTAGACTGGAAAAGGCAAGAAACGGATTTTCCTCTGGGGCTACTGGAAACAAGGCAGCCCTGCTGACACCTTGATTTTAGCCCACTAAGACCCATTCAGACTTCTGACCTCAGGAAATGTAGATAATAAATCTGTAGTGTTTTAAGCCATTAAGTGTGTGGTAATTTGTTACAGTAGCCACAGGAAACTAATATGCTTGCCCAAGACCACATACATGGCTGATGAGGGAAGATGGCACATCCGTGTCCTTTCATGGCTGTTCTGTGCCGCTTGCAGCAGTTTTGCTAAGATGAGGGAATGCCATGTATATGAAGGATGATGCGATGGGGGTCCATGTTGAGCGAGTCAGTCTTCCTCTCTGGGGCTCAGCGTTCACGATTTTAAAAGGAGGGCTTTGGACTGGACAGCGTCCAAGGGCCCCATGACCCTAACATTTCCCTACTTTATTACAAGAAAATGTGGAGGAAAAGGTTACCTCTGGTATTAATTTGCGATGGCTGCCTCCATCGGGAGCACTTGTGGGCCATTCCTTGGGCAGTAGCTTCTTGTTCTTTCAATGTGTCGTATTTTCCTTCTAATCTATACCCACCACGTTCAATACGAGGACGAGGTAGTTCACAGTAAAGGCAGGAATGCAGAGGAAACATTAAAATGAGAACCACGATAGAGAGGGTGCTGAGAAGGAAATTTAATTCTTCCTTGGCAGCCAAGGCAACAAGAGAAATGGAGTGAGCTCTAGGTTCTTTTGAAAAGGAATAAGTGTTCAGACGTATCATTAAGACTTACTAAGGAAGTGGTTTTGCTGTGCCATGTAGAACTGTATAAACTTGCCTGTTTTATTTCTAGATCAATCCTCTGAAAAAGGAGGATGAGGGAGTGTACCAGTGCCATTCCGCCAACACGGTTGGGGAGGCCCAGTCCCACGGCACGGTGACAGTTATCGATCTGAATGCATACAGATACCCCTACTTCCCGGCTCCCGATGACCGCATGTGATGGAGTAAGTTCACATGCTAACTCGTTTTCAGTATTCAGATACCTGTGTCATAAGAAATTGAGATGGCTTATAAGATGTGTAATAAAAAAGGAGAAAATACATAAATTACGGAAACCAGAGGAACGCAAAACAAGAGTAGAAACATATTAACATTAGCAGATAGAATCTCTAGTATGTTCTATACACATATCACTCTGGGCTTCCCACCTAGTGTGCAAGTCAAGAGCTGTGAACATTACGGATGTCCATAAGGTGAAAAGAACCAGCTGTTTCTGTTTCTGAGGCTGAACAGACTATTTCCTCCGGGTCCCCCTAGAGAGGGCACTGACAGAGCAGGCATTGTCATTGTCACAGCACCCATGTGAAAACATGCCACAGAGGAGATAACGTGAGCATCATTTGTCTGTGTCTGGGTTCCTCCTTGTCGGCAGCTCTGCCGTGTCTGGGCCATGCCTGCCTGTCCTGAACACTGTGCTTGCTTAGCAGCACATCCGCAGAGCATCTGTGTCTCCTCCTCAGTCCTCATAGTCACCCAGGTGAGAGCTGGGGTTGCAGCCGTCCCCCACCAACAGGTGGACTGTGAACTTAGGAAACGAATCCCTTCATTAGCCATCTTTTGCTGCTTAAACAATCCCCAAACCTCGCTGGTTCATGGCTACCAACATTTATCTCTTGCTCACATGCTATGTCATGGCTGCAGGTTGGCTGTGATTCCGCTCCATGTGTCTTCACGTATGGAGACCCAGCTGGAGGAGCGGCCCCCTGTGGAATATGTCCACTCTTAGGGCAGAGGAGACCAGTGAGAGGCCAAGCCAAGCACACAATCTTATTTCAAGTTTCTGCTCAGATGCGGTGTGTGTGTCTCATCTGCCTAAGGCCATTAGCCAAAGCGAGTCCCATGGCCACACCCAGCATTAGTGGGGTGGGTGGAAGTCTGCTCTTCTCACAGGAGGCCAAGGGCAGAGGGTGTGATCCTCTTACAAGACCAGAGGAAGGAACCTTCGCAAACAGGCACCATCAGCAAGGCCTACTGACCCGTTTCTTATAGAGCAGGAAAAATGAGAAGCAAGGTGGATAGTTTACGAAAAGCAGAAAGATTTTGCTGTGGTTCTGTAATCCATATTATTCCATATTTAGCCACCGCTGTTGTGCACGTTCTGTGTACAAGGCCTTACATCAGTCTGTAGGGGATGCACAGAAAACCAAAAAGCGAACATCACTAAACTACAAAGAATGCAGTATTGAGGAAATATAGAGTGTGTGTGTGTTTGAGGCGAGAGAAGCAGCTTAGAATTGGGGAGATAAGGGAAGAAAGACTTCATGGAGGTTTCTTATAAGGTTGAAGGATGGATGGATGCAAGTAGTTAGAGTTCCTAGAAACAGGGAGGAAAATATAAGGTATAAAACCATCAAATAGAAATTCAGCTAGGGGATGACTCTTAAAGTTGCTCTCCTGATACTTGACTTTTTGTTTTTTATGTATATATGTATTGTTATAAATATATAACAAAAAGTCAAAATTAGGACTTTTTTTGTGTGTGTATATATGTATGTATACTTGTATACTTTTATATATATGTACATATATATGTATGTATGTATGTATGTTTCATGTTTTAAACATATATACAATTTTTAAGCATAAATATGTATATATTTTTTAGAAAAACAGAAATGACACCAGTCTATGAAACCAGTCTATTATAGATGAGTTTTCAAAAGGGAGCCACAGAGAACCATAGAATTAAGACCATCACCATGGCCCAGTTCTTGAGATCCCTCTACAACATGCACTACCGGCCAGCCCTTGCTTGCTTACCTCCAGAAATACAGAGCTCACTACCACAAGACAACCATCTTTGGATTTTCCAGCAGTTGGAGGTTCTTCCCCAAATTAATCTGGAATCTGCCTCCCTGAAAAGTCTGCCCATTGGTCATGCATGTACTTCTTGGGCCCCCACGGGGTCCCTCTGCTCCCCACCACACTCTCTATTCCTTGCTGGGAGAGATTTATAGTTGAGGACCATCGCCCCCTCCCTCCATGAAACACACAGTTGACTGTGACAGAGCAGGCTGATTTTTTCTAATGCTTTCCCCTCTCTTCTTCTAGGGTGTTAGAAACACTGATCACAGGATGATGGAAAAGTGAAGTCATGGATTGTTTCGCTTTGTGAAGGGTTGGGAAAACTGTGTTTGTAGATGACCCCTTTTGTATGTTCTTAAAAACTAGACACAAACTAGCTTCATATGCAGATGTAGTTTTTAGCAGGGAAAACACAGGGGAAACAGACGGCATGTAGCTTTTTTATACCTTTGAAATGAATTGCTCTGTGAGAATTTTTTTTAACTACTCCTGCCCAGGGAAGATTGCTTCGTGGTGTATTTGTACTTCTAAAGGGCTGAATGAGGCTGTGTCAGCTGTGACTCTTTACCTCATTTGTCTGTGGCTGATCAGTGCAGCTCTGTGACTTTGTGTTGTACGAAGAAGGAGGATGTTCCCTCTGTCTTCTGTCTGACCTCTAACTTGCTGTGTGACCTGGACAGGTCTCTCCTCTCTCTGGGCCTGGGTCTCTTCACCTGTAAATGGGCACTTGGACCGGATGTTACCGATGTGCTTTCGAGCCCTGCCATCATAGAGTAAGATGGCCCTATGGAAAAAATACAGGAAACGTAGTCTTAACATGCTTTTTAAAATGGTATTCCCTCAAAAATAAATGTCATTGCTTCATAATAGGGTATGGACAGCTGGCTATAGCTCGTCTGTTTCTGCCGTTTTCCCATTTTAAAGAGATTTAGTCCTAGATGGGACACTTTACCAGACTCAGGGCCCCCTTGGCTGGGCATTTGGGAACCAAGATGTCCACTTGTTAACAAGCCCAGCATTCTCTAGCCAGATGGGCAGTGGAGACCTGATTTCTGGACATCACATTGTCAAAACAGGGTCAGAAGCTCTCTCTGGGCTGTGAAATGAGAGTGTAGTAGAATATATTTTACTTAGAGATGGTTTGACCTTATCCAGGAATAATTCTTTCTTTCTTTTTTCTTTTTTTAATGAAGAAAGAAAGAAGGGGAATATTTAATATCTGGGCTAAAAAAAAATCCCCTAGATGATTAACCTTTTTTTAAAGTCAATTGGGATCTCACATGTGGATAGCCCTTAAAGTTTGTGAAGTTCTTTGTCCTCTGTGGTCACTTCCCAACTCCAGGACAGCAGGCAGGGTAAGGATTACTGTCCCTTTACAGATGAAGAAACCAGGCTCCAAGAGTAAAGCACTTGCCCAGCGTCTAAAGGCCTCTGGAAGGACCAGAACTCAGGGCACTTGGCCTTTCTTGGCACCCTGTCCACACCGTGTGCCGCTTCTCAGGATCATCTCATAACTAGGAAACGGGAGAGGCTGCTAGACCACAGGTTCCGGGACTCCTGTCCAATTCCATCTCAATTTTTAAAGCTCATCCTCATGGCGCCCACAGTGGGCATGCCATTTTGGGGTCTTTTTTGGAATTGCATTTTCTGTCTTAAAGGCTGGCCGGCCCAGATCTTAAGTACTAGGTTGGCATCACCCTGATGTACCACACAGCAGGAGACTGGCCTGGGACCCCAGAAACATGAGGTCCATTTGGGAATTCATCCCTGGCTTGCTGTGTGACCCTGAGCAAGTCCCCTTCAGTTTCTGAACCTTGTTTTCCACATTTGAATAAGAAGGGTATGAAACTAGATGGGTGCTTTTCAAACTTTAAAACATTGGAACCCCTTCTTCGGATAAAGTTAGGATTGAAACTGATCAAGCGGGGGGCTGTTGGAAGTTGGGGCTGCCAGGGGACCTGCTCACATCCCCTCTGTGCTCAGTACTCCTACCCGTCTTCCACTCACTCCCACGGTGATTTCTGTATCCAGGGTCTGCAGTTAATTCCTCTGTGATTTGAATGGCTGATACGACACTTAGTGAAACGGTGTCAGGAGGAATAGGGATGCTGAGGCCTTGGAGAAGGTCCTAGAACATCATGCATCTGCCAATAAGCACATTTAGCAAAATCAGTTGAATCCCCTCAAATTTGCCCGATGAAAATTGGACAGCTGGATCTAAACCCAGAGAGCAAGGTAGACAGAGCCCTGTGATGACAGAGCTGAGCATCAAGACTGCATGAGGCTGGGGGTAGCATCATAACCGTGTGCAAAAAGTAATAATAATAAACGTTACACTGTCTGAAATTTTCACCAAAACCAAAAACATGACTGTTCCAACCTAATGCCTTTTCACCGGTGAGCGCCCTAAGACGTCTGCAGAGGCTTAGAGAACATGGGCTGTGGCTGTTATCATTTGGCAACACGCTCCCCTTAGCTTGTGTTTTCTGCCCTATTTTCACAGATGTGATGACGTCACCTGACCCCTGCACCCTGAAAATAAATGTTTTGTAAGGACAGTCTTCATGGTCTCTTTGTCCTTGGAATGCTGCTGTAGGTGGTCCAGGTCCCACTGATACTTCCCCACCATCCCGTATGCATCTAGCCTTTTATTTGCTTGCTCATATCAGCTCCTTCAATCTGAATCCTCCTCACCTCTCACACCTGGGCTGTGCTCACAGCCCCACCTGGTCACCTTGTTTGCAATTTTTAATGAGCCCTAATTGTCTACTCCTGGCCTGATGCTTCTAGCTCCCCCTGAACTTGGGTCTCCTACAGTATAAGCATTCTGGTATTTAATTCACTCACCTAGATATGCCCTCTGTCATCTCCCACATGCACATGGAGTAGCATTCTCCAGAAGCCAAAAGGGTACAGACGCTGGCAGTGTGAATGTGGATAGGACCTTGGTCCCGCACTCAGATGAGAATCTGCGGGGAGGAGTGGGATGAGACTGCAGTCCTGCCAGGCAGCACAAGGTATCTGCTTTGTGACGGGAGCAAGGGAAGATCAGGGAAGACTTCCTGGAAGAGGAGAAGAGGAGGCATCTGAGCTGGGGAGTGGAGTGGGGATGGGGGATTCCTGGCTAGGGAAACAGCATGTGAAAGGAGCAGGGGTGGAGAAGTGCAGCGTAGTTTGTGAAGGGGAGTGGTGACACATGGTTGCTGCTGGGAGCAGTAGTGGCAAGTAGAGGGGGTGGGGATCTTAGGCCAGACCCCTAAATGCCACCCAAGGAGGTTGGACTTGATGCTGTAAGCAGTAGGCAACCTGACTCTCAGTCTTCTGTTGTCAACTGAGTTACAACTAACTGTGCTCAAGGAAGATCATTCAAAAGCCGGTGTTCAATCCCAAATGTACCCACTTCCCACCTTAACTAAAAAAGCCTGAGTTTTAGTCAAAAATGGATTTTTTTTTCAGGTTTTATGGTGAATTTAATCCTATGTCATTAAAAAGATATTGCCCTCCCCTCCCCTCCCCCAGGGATGCGTGATGCGGGAAAAATTAATAAGAATGAGCAAATCAATCGACAGTGAAGAGTCCCTCTAATGAATTTCCTCGCTTCTAGCCTTCACCGGGGCCTCTTGAACATTAAATCAGAGAATGGTTAGTATGTGATAGTTTCATTAATTAAGGGAAACTGAAGTGCCCTGGTGTCTGCAACTGAATACTGAACCCAGCACGGAAGCCTGTCACCCAGGGCAGGACTGGATACCTGTGCTTGCCCTCGCTAGGCTCAGGGGCCGACATCTCCTTCCTGGAGTGTGAAGTCCAATCGGTCAGCGCTGCCTCTGAGTTCAGCTTCAACTGCATCCAGGGGCTGAGAAGTGTGCGGTACCAGCAGGCAGAGTTACCTGTGTCTCCTCTCACCATCACTGTCTTCCTCATGCCTGAATCTTCCCCGTGGTATTAGGGAGTGGCTGGCTGTCAAGGGAAGAGTACAAATTGTTATTGCTGAGAAGTGGGGATGGGGGATAGAAGCCTCTCTCATCTCCATAAATTCACCCACCACACACATCTGCAGAGCACCTACTGTGTGCCAGGCTTCTTTCAGTCTGCACTCGAGAAAACATATTGAATAAATGAATAAACTCACCACTTTGCCCTCAAACCTGCTCCTCCAGCCAGGTTCCCTTCCGCATTGCTGGCACCACCACCCACTTGGTTACCCCAGCCAGGAACATGGGGTCACCTCCTGGCTCCCATCCTCACACCTTCCGCCCATCCTTACACCTGGTCAGGTCAGCATCCCTGGCATGGGTAGCAGAGTCCTGAGTGGCCTCTGGCCCCAGATTGACCCCTCAACCTATCCTGCACACTGAAGCAGAGCCAGCTTTAGAAACCAAAAAAATGACCCTTTCCCTTTCCTTTGAAAACCCTCATGGCTTCCCATCGCTAGATAGTGTGGGGACTTTCCCGCCAGGCGTACCGCCCCTTCACAATCCAGTCCCTGCCTCCTCCGAGGTCTTTCCGCCCTTCCTCTCTTCCTCACACTATTCCTTGCACCCTCCATGCATTCCCACAAACACCATGCCCTTCCTTCTCCCGGGAACACCCTTCCTGCATCTCTCTGCCTGGTTACCTCCTTCTCATCCGATAGGATCCCATGTCCCTCCCACCTGGCCTTTCTCCTGGGCTGAGCCAGGTGCTGTATTGTCAGAAGACCTGAGTTTGCGTCCTGGCTGCACTTCCTAGCTAAACATCTCTGGGCCACCATGTTTATTTATCAGGTGTTAAATGATAACAATAAGTGCCTGAGAGTAATTAGAAGCATTACATGAGGGCCGGCCGAGTGGCGCGATGGTTAAGAACTGGCTTGGGACGCCAGAGGGCCCTGGTTCGGATCCCACATATGAGGGCTAGTGACACTGCCCTCTACAGCTAAGATGCAGAACAACAGCTCAACGTGGAGCTGGGCAGCTGTGAGTCGCTGGTGATGGCGTAGGCTGCAGCCCCTGTGGCAGTGGGTTGCCATGGGCCACCGTATGTAGCCAGCAGCCAGCGTGAGCGGCCAGCAGCCACAGTGAGCGGCCGTCCAGAAGCCGGCGACTGATCTGCCTCGCCTGGGAAGAGCGCAATGATGGTGCCAACTTGGGCCAGTGAAGCAACGTCCTCCACAACTAGACTGAAGAACAAAACAACAGCAACTTGTCTGTTCCCCTTTCCCCAATTCCCCAATAAAAAAAATCTAAAAAAAAAGAAAAAAAAAAGAAGCATTACATGAGATCATCAATATTATTGTAGGAGCCTTATCAACACTGTGGGTGCTTAATAGTCTTTGACTATCTGTGATCTCGTGGCCTCTGTACTTCCACTTATTAGAGCACTTTTCCCCTGTTTTGTAGTTGTCTCCCTGCCAGACTATGAGCTCCTACAGGGCAGGGACTGCCTCATTCAATTCTCTGTCCCCACACCTGCCTAGAGCCAGGATTTTTGTTTGTTTGGTTTTTTAAAAATAACTTACTTAGCCTTTAAAAACAAACAAACAAACAACAAACCAGTAAATGATCTGAGCAAATTAATTAACCAGGTGACCGCCAGAGGTCAGCCTCACACCTAGAATAGAATCAACCCAAATCAAAGTTCTTAAACGGCCTGGCACCTGGGATCTGATCTCGAGAAGCAGTGTGACTGGAACCGAGCAGCAGCCCTGCTGGATCCAGCAAAGAAGTTCAGTGTTTGGGCTCTTCAGGCATTGAGGTTGGATTAGATAGGCTCTCAGTTTGACCCCTTTCTGGCTTATCATGTACTGAGTCCAAATGAGCTATACTGCTAAATCTCTCAGCTTCCATTTCCTGTGAAACAAAAGGGGAACCCCACTGCTTACGTTATTGGATTGTGGGAGGCTTCAGTGGCATGTAAAGGCACCTGGCATAGATGGCACCTGGCAGAGTAGAGCTTGGTGTAAGTTTGTTGAGTGGGTGGGTGCCCCAGAATTGCGATACCTATGACCAAGTGAAGACCTGCCGGCAGTGTCTGCACTAAATGATGCCCAACTCAGCCTCCATGCTCACAGGGCCCTGTACCCAGCGCAGTGTCATGAGTGCAGAGGCTACAGGGCTGAGCTCGCTGGGAATTGGAACTATCTGACTCCAGGCTCAGAGTTTCAGGAATGGAAATGAGAGACCTAGAAGATTGTCCTGTCCCAGTCCCACCCCATAATGGGACACCCGGTACTAAGTTTCTCCTGGTTTAGAAGTATTGAGAAGCAAATGACGAATGGATCTATTCAAACATTGAGATGTTGCTTGATAGTCATTAGAAACCCCCACCCACCCACCTACTCATTCCCATTTCCCCATTTCATGACAACTTTCACTACTGTGCAAAGTGCCACCAGCCTCCAAGAGTAGATGAAAGGTGCACTTCGGGGGACAGTCAGGGTCACCCCAGCTTTAGACAAATGGCATAGAAAGGAGGTCCCGGGAAGGGGAAATGAGGGGACTGAACACAACCTGAATCCTCTGGAAGCATTTTCAGGCCACCTCTAAGGTCAGATACTGAATGACATCACCTCGAGACCTAGGTGAGATAACAGGATGCTAAAGAGAAGCCTGGGGGTGTGCATTCACGAGACTGGGTGGACCTAAAAGTGGGATTTATGAGCAATGTGATCGAAGGGTGGCACACAAGGAGGGAGGGGATCAGCATTGTTTCTGTGTCACAGCCTGCTGGCTTGGAGTTACTCCCATCCATTGGGGAAGTAAGACTAACAATAATCATACTGAACTCTCAGGTTTGCATCTCCGAAACCCCAGCATGTCAGGATGACCCTGATGCTGAGGCTGGCTTGAGGGGTGGTATGTTTTGGTAGAGCTTGGGGGATGACGCCAGTGGAAGCCTTGAAATGAGATCTGACAGGGACTTACTCAGGCGGGAGGAATCAGAGCTTTTCTCTGTAGGTCTTAAAAGTTGCACTTTGTCATCCAGACAGGGGAAAACAAAAACAAAACTAGAAATAGTGTGGAGGGGAGTTTTGCACCTGGCTGGGGGTTGACCAGATGACTAACTAGATCTCTACCATCCTCAAGACTCTGTAAAACACTCAGTAGCAAGAGAATATCGATAAAAAATTGATTTGCAAACAGGATGTATGAGTTTAATTTTTAATCAAAATCAATTTACATATCAAAATTCACTTTCAAAGTATGCAATACAGTGCTTTTTGGTATACGAATATTCACAAAGTTGTGCAACCATCACCACTATCTAATTCCAGGATATTTCAAAACCTCCCCCACCAAAAAAATTCCATACCCATTAGCACGTACTCCCTGGTCCCTCTTCCCCAAGCTCTGGCAAGCACTAATCTACTTCCTATCTCTATGGATTTGCCTATTCTGGATATTTCATATAAATGGGCTCGTACAATATGTGACCTTGTATGTCTGTCTTCTTTCATTTAGCATGTTTAAGGATCATCTATGTTGTAGTATGTGTCAATACTTCATTCCTTCTTTTTATGGCTGAATAGTACAAGGAATATTCCATGGAAACATTTTGTTTATTCACTCAGTAGTTGATAGACATGTGGGTTGTTTTGAGCTTATTTTAAAGGAATGGTTACATACATACATTCTTTGCCCATTCCTTCCCTCAAATTAAAGAAAATCAGTAGCAAAATGAAGTTGTGGCAAGCAAGTAAAATAGCCAACAACTGGTACTTAGAAAAGGAAAAGCACCCTTCTCTTTTAGGTTAAGTCAATAAAGAATGGGGCCAAGATTTGATATCCATCAAAACTCCTAATGCCTTCCAATCCCGTGTTTGAGGTGAGTTCATCCACTAAGTCAGCAGGTTAATCCATTAGGAAGTCCTTGGATCAGCAGGAAGAACTAAAAGTCCAGATCAGTGGTTTTAATCTATCTTCCAGAGACGCCTACGTTTTCATGGAAGTTACTCAGGGCCTCCAAGGGGCCTGGGGCTAGGGTGCAGATGGATAGGACTGAGCCCAGCCCCCCATCCCTGCTTTAGAGAAGCTCTGATTTTAATGGTTTCATTTGTTGAGGTTCTAAGAGTTCACGTGGAACAAATAAAGGGGCTAAAAAATGTTTGGCAACTACTGGTAGGTAGCTGTGGAACCCTTAGCCTGGAGTTGGGTCTCATGGTGGCCATTCTTAGGAGTTCTTCTGTGGAACCTTGATGGTGACTGTCTTCACCTCCGTGTAGGCCTTCAGCCCATCCTCCCCCAGCTCCCTCCCATTGCCAGACTCCTTAAAGCCTCCAAATGGCGTGTGGCAGGTGACGATGTTGTAGGTGTTCACCCACACTGTCCCAGCCTGGAGTGCCTGTGTGAAGTACAGGGCCTTGTCCAGGTCCTGGGTGAACACAGCAGCAGCCAAGCCATACCTGGTGTTGTTGGCCCTCTCAATCACCTCCTCAATCTTCTTGAACTTGAACAGGGGCTGCACAGGCCCGAAGATCTCCTCCTTGGCGATCCTCATGTTATCCTGCACACCACCAAAGACCGTAGGCTTGATGAAGAAACCACGCTCCCCAAAACGCTCCCCACCGCAGAGAAGTTTTGCCCCTTCCTTCTGGCCAAGCTGGATATAGCCCAGGATTCGTTCAAACTGCTCCTTGTCCACCTGGGGCCCCTGCTGGGTGTCCAGCTCAAAGGGGTTCCCAACTTTCCTCTGCTTAGCTTTCTCCACAGTTCTCTCGAGAAACTCATCATAGATGGATTCTTCGACGAAGGTCCGGGACCCTGCACAGCAGCACTGGCCTATGTTGAAGAAGAGGGATTCATGGCACTGCTCCACGGCATGGCCCATGTCAGCGTCAGCCAACACAATGCTAGGGCTCTTCCCACCCAGCTCCAGGGTAACTCTCTTGAGGTTGGACTCTCCAGCTGCCTTCTGGATCAGGTGGCCCACCTCAGTGGAGCCGGTGAAGGCAACTTTGTCGATATCCATGTGGTGGGCGACAGCTGCTCCTGCTGTTGGGCCATAGCCTGTGATGATGTTCACCACCCCAGGGGGGAAGCCCGCCTCCTTGATGAGGGAGGCCAAGTACAGGGCAGAAAGAGGGGTCTGCTCTGCGACCTTCATGACCACAGTATTGCCGGTGGCAAGCGCCGGGGCTAGCTTCCAGCCCTGCATGACCAAGGGGAAGTTCCATGGAATTATCTGGCCACAGACACCAACAGGCTCATGTCGGGTGAAGCAAAAATGCTCACCATCCATGGGGATGGTCTTGCCGTGCCACTTGTCAGCCCAGCCAGCAAAATACCGGTACACCTTAATGACCTCGTCCAGGTCCAAGGCATAAGACTCCTGGAAAGGCTTCCCGTTATCCAGGGTCTCCAGTGAGGCCAAGTAGACACGATCCCGCTCCACTAGGTCGGCGAGGCGGTTCAACAGCCGGCCCCGCTCGGAGGCATCCATCCGGCGCCACGGAGACCCCAGGCGGAAGGCCTCGCGGGCTGCTCTCACCGCCCGATCCACATCAGCCCAGTCCCCTTCAGCCACGTGGCCGATGACTTCTCCTGTGCTAGGGTTGACTGTTGGGAAGGTCTTCTTGCTGGTCGCATCTTGCCACTCATTATTGATGAACAGCTGGTTGTAGTGGATGTCTGGTTTCTGGATGGGGCTTGGGAGGGCTGCTGCCGACGAGTACGGGGCGGTCCTACCACCGAGGCCACGAAGCCGGGGCACCAGGAAGCGCAGCATGTTACTACTCTGGAGAGGGACAGAAGGAAGCAGGGTGAGCAGGTGAGAGGGGGCCAGGGGGCCCCCAAAGGCCCACCAGCTCAGACGTTCCAAGATTCTAGCATAAAGGGATGTCATCTCGAAAACAAAACACGGATTGTAAGGTGTATAAAGGCCCTGAAGAACTCTCTGGTCCAACTCTGCCAGGCCCCGTCTATCCTCCGGCTCACTCCCTCACCTCTTCCAGGTCTTTACTCGAATGTCACCTTCTCAGGAAGGCCTTCCCTGACCACCCTTTATAAAGCTGCAACTTTCCTCACTTCCAGCATTCTCTATCTCCCGTACTATGCTTTATTTTCCCCCATCTGACATACCAAATGGTATATTTACATGCTTATATGTGTATATAAGCCCCCAAGCCAAGAACACATCAGCTCCATGAAGGCAGAAATTTGTTTTTCCTATTTTGTTCATCGCTATGTCCGTGCTGCCTGGAATCATACTTGCTACAGAGCAGCTGCTCAGTAGGTATTTATTTAATGATATACTCAGGAAACAATAACATTTCCACTGAGGCTCTTTAATTGACCTAAGAATGGAGTGGAACCAACGGGACTCAGAGACAGAGCTGTTCTCTTAGACAGGGGCTTGCCTCACTTCCCCTCCGTGCTTCAGTTTCCTCGCATGTGAAATGCCTCGTGGGGCTATGCTGAATGGGGTCGTGCATGTAAAAGCCTGGCACACTCCAACCATCAGAGCTGGCAGCACCCACAGAAACCAGCCTAGCCCAGCCTCCCAGGCACAGGTCTCAGCTTCCCAGGAGTGTAGCAGCCGGGGGAAAAAGGGCCTGCTTATGGTTGCCTACAAGACTTGATTAAAACAGCAACTGTAAAATTGGAACAATATATAAAATGTATTCATTGAAATTTAAATGGTGTATAAAGTTCCTAGATTCCCTGAAGCAGCAATCCCCCATCTCTGCTCTCTCACTTGAGTCTAGCCCCACCCAGCAGCAAAAAGGAATTGCACTTGCCCCCCCCCCCCGCACTCCACACCCCAACTCCCCACCCTCTGCCACTGGGCAGGGAGGGGAGCAAAGAACTCATCCAGAAAAGTACCCCAGCCAGGACCTCAGCTCCGTACACATCAGTGCTGCCCAGGAAAGCCCTCTCTTGGGGGTAAGCTGAGCCAGCAGCCCTGTCAGGGGTGCACTCAGGTTCCCCTCTGCTCAGAGTTCTGCCCCATGCTGGGACAGAGGCACCCTTGGGTCCAACAGCCTGGGTTTGAGGAGGGAGGGGTCCACTGGGAGGTGGGTGTAAGGGGGAGTCACCGATCCATGGGTGGGAGTGAAGGGGCTAAACAGGCAGGATGAGTGGTCACAGACCAAGGCTGAAAATCTTTCATGCCAAGCCAAGGCTATTCCTACTCTAGGGGCCTGTATGGGGTCTGCCCTGGCACCTCCACTTGCATATAGAAAGATCACTGCTCACTGGTGCACCAGGCTTTACAGTTTGCAGGATATCTCAGCGGTTAGTTAACTCATGGAAACGGCCAGCCGCCCTGGGTTGATCCGAGCAGATGATGACCCCCATTCTGGAAGAAGGCTGGGGACCGGAGAAGTTCAGGGGCTCACCGAGGACACACAGCAAGTAAGAACAGGAGCCTTAGCCAGGGTTCCCACAGCCCTAGCTTTGTGTTTCCTCCTGACCGTGGACAATTTCTCCGGTTCCCTGCATTAGTGCCCACTATGCCAAGGACCAGGCATTCTGGGTGACTGAGGACCAGGCGGCACCCACCTCATCCTTTCTGCAGGGAGGGGTTGCGCGTCCTGACCTCTTAGCTACAGCCTTGGCTGGGGCGGATTGGGTGGGCGGGAGCGTTGAGGTCGAGCTAACTGGGAAATGTCTGGAGGGAGGGGTGTGGCGTTCTGCGTCCTCGAGGCCCAAAAGGCGCACCTCAGGACCCTGGTGCAGGAGGAGGGATGGGGAGCGTGGAGGGGGTCCTATACAGTGCACGCTGGACACAAGGGCCCGCCCCCAGATGGGGAAGCCAAGGACTAGGGAGGAAGCCTCCATCGCGGGGACAGGAGCTGCGACTTGCCCCGGGGGTCCGAGGGGAGAAGGGCACTTACGTTACCTGTGGCAGTCTCGGGCTCAAGCTCAAGTACAGGCTCACGTTCTCCGAGGTCTAGTCCGCCTCTCGCCAGGCGCTCGCTCCAGGGCCCGCCTCTGCTCAGGGCTGAAGCTCAACAGCCAATGAGGCTCCGCCTGTGCCTGGGGCGCCGAGATCACTGGCCTCAAGACCACCGCCGCTCCTCCCTCCAGGTAGTGGTTCCGGTTTTCAGGCGAGGGGAGCGGAAGGGGCAGTGCCCCACCTTTCCCTTGTCCCATCGCCCCTGCACCCTCAGGGCATCCTGCCTCCCGCAAGCGCACTCTCCTTCGCAAGGCCCTCGTTTGGGAGCGGAAATAAAGACCCAGGAGGGGGCAGGCCTTCTTCAGGCCACACAGCAGTGGGAGACTGGATCCGAATTAGATTTTGCATTTCTCCCTCCCGCATCATGCACCTTGTTAGGTTGCCATCCACGAACCGCTCCTTACCCTCTTTTGGGCGTCCCCTCTGTTTTTCCTTGGTTCAGTAATTTCTGCTTGTCTTCCACCTTTGCTGCTCTTTTCCAGTTCCATTAAGAAGGTTTTATTTCTGTGTGTTTTTAAGATGCATGTTTTTTGGTCTTAAGGACAAAAAGAATATATGTACGTTATACTGTAGAAAGCTTGGAAAACAGAAGAGGATGAAGAAATTAAGGAAAAAAAGAAAAATACCTTCAATCCTTTCACCCAAAAGTTGCCACTCATCTCTCTGGTATTTTCTCCTCTGCATTTTTCAAAATTCTTTTAATTGAAATACAATCACATGTGGTGACCTCTGTTTTGCTGCCTGCTTTTTTCCCCTTAACTTAGTGATTTATTGTGAACTTTTTCTCATTTCACTAATTAATTACAAGACAACATCATTCTCTCTAAGGTGGCACAGAATTCCATGGTTGAGAGGACTGCTGATGGACATTTAGGGTGTCTTGTTGCTGTAAAGGATGCTAAGATGGACATCCTGAACAGGCATCACTCACTCATTCCACCTCCACTGCACCCTCCTGGTCGGAGAGGCCAGGAAGCTTAAGAGCTAAGTTTCCCAGCCTCATTTACAGCTAGGGTTCTGGCTGTGAACTAGGTGCTGCCAGTTACCCCTGCTAGATGTGGAAATTGGAGGGTATAGTCCAGCCCCATAGGGACGTCACTAGCATGGTAGCAGAAATGTGAGGATTTTCTGCAATAAGCCTTCTTAGCCTTCTTAGTCCCTTCCCCAGCTTCCTGAGTGTGGGATGGTAACTGTGGCTGCAGCTCTACTCCGGCTACCTACTCTGAATCATGGCTGCAGGGATGTGTCTTGAGATAAATAGCTCCAGAGGTGTCCTCAGATAGAGACAAGGCTGGTGGGCCACATCCATCTTGTTCTGGAAGTGAATCTTGAAGGACTACCTAAGGCCCACTGCTCTCGCTGGCCCTTCTAGCAATTCTGTCTGTCAGTACCCAATTCTCTGTATTCAGTCCCTACCTCTCCACATATTGAGAGTGTTCACATTCTCCTGCTTCAACCTGACTGCTTCACATAGTTCTTTCCTTAAGCTACATCTCTGTGGAACCATTTGTTACCATCTCATCCTTAGGATATTCAAAGTCCTTGCTGCAAAGTTTAGTTCTTCACTAGAAACACTACACCTTGCATCCTGCCATATCTGTGCTCATGTTTTCCTCTGGTTTCCCCAGCATCTGTTTAATACTTCCTGCCTCCCCCACACCACATAGCCAGCCTAGCGCTCCTTGGTCATTTGGCATGGCACTGATGGTGGATTGACTTAATGATTATTCGGTCAATCATTGACAGGCCTCTATAGAGGTAGTGAATGAGTCCATGATGAAATGTTAGTCTTCATGTGGTCAGACTGCATTGGAAAGCTACAGCAGGTGAGAGAGGCCAGTGGCAGACAGGAAGTGACCCCCATGGGGGAGAGGTTGGAGGCTGTGTCCTGTGAGGAGCAGCTGAAGGAACTGGGGTATCCTCCCCTTAGAACTCAAGGGACAAGTTTGCACCCTCCAAGTCTCTGAAAGGCAAAGCAGATGTGGTCTGCGGGGTCCTAGAAGGCAGAGCCAGACCAGTGTGGGGAAGTTACAAGGGGCAGAGGAAGAACTTCCTGGCAAAGCACAACTGGCTAAGGAGGGATGGGAGGGACTGCCTTGAAAGGTGGTGAGCCCCTCCTGACTGGGGGAGTACAGGAGGGATAGACGACTGTTTGGCAAAATCCTGTATAGGGGAGTGCCAGATACGGAGTGAACTAGCCTCGGCTGAGCATCATAATTGCCTGGGGAGCTTCAAAAAGAAAAAAATTATTGGGTTGTCGGAAAAGTCATGATGCAGTTTTGCAATGAAAAACATAGAAAAAATACGTCATGACTTTTCCGACAACCCAATACAATCTCCCTGGGTCTTACCGTCAGATATTTTAAATTATTATGTGTTGGTTGGGGCCCAGGAATTTTTTTAAGTTCCCTCATATGCTTCTGATGTGCAACCATATTTGGGAAGCACTGGTTTAAGTGGTCTTTGGGGATTCTGTGACCCCATTATAGATGGTTTTCAGAAACAGACTTACCCCGTGACTGCTTCGTCTGTCTCTGGATTCTGTCCAGCACGCCCATCCTGGGCCCTCATAAGCTGTGGCCAGCATCAGAACTCACTACAGTATAGTCCTGCTGTAAGACATTTGTAAAAGCATCCAAACATTTAAAAAACTGAAATTTTCCCCAATGCTTGACATTTGTGGTTTGGAGAAAAGGATGAATGTGCAGTGACTGAGGGGGAAATGCACAAATTATTTTTGCAGAGGGGTGGACTATTTTTCAGGATTGTTTTGGATTCCGCTTTTTAATTGGCAGAAAAGATCCAGGCCTCTGTAACGGATGTTGGGCCTGGAGCCACAGTGAGTGTTTGGACTAAAAGGATTGAAGGGGAAATGGTGAGATAACGCAAGCCATAGTCAGGTCATTGTCAGCAAGGAATGTCACCCAGGGATGTATTTACACTGGCCTGGTGGGGGAAGAGAAGCTATTTCTAGGCTTCAGCATTTTGGAGCCTTATATGTCTAGAAAGTTCCTGGAGAAGACTCCAGGCTCTGAGATAATGAACGGAACAGACCGACTCTAAACAAAAAAGACATGTGAGCTGCATGGGTGTTTATTCTACACTGAGCATAACAGGTGCCGCCATTCTCTGTGTTTGAACTGAAGATGGAAGACTCGCTGAAGACACTGAGGGAGTTACAGGGAATGGAACATTTTAAATAAAGATGCTTGTAAAAAGCAAACCAAGATATACCTTTTCCCCCTCCTTTTGTCCTATGTGAGCCTCTAAGTAAAGTTTACACTCTGTGAACATGACCAAAATCTGAGTGTAGCCAAACCAAACCAGCCCTGAGTATTTCCCACACACTCAGTTTCCCCGCTGCCTGCCTGGCTTCCTTGCGCTTTACCCGCCTCTGCCTCAGTGTGCCGTTGAGGAGACCGAGGCCCAGAAAGGGAATCGACTTGCCCACGTTCACACGGGGGGCGGGGGGGGGGGTGTCTGAGTTCAGACTAGAGTCAAGGCTCTCTCACACACACACACAAATGACACCGAGGAGGAAGCAGAGCATGTGGCTGTGCAGGGGCCACTGCTGCTGAGGCCCCAGAGGCAGGAAGGTCGTTTTAGATTGCGTGGGTGGGCCCAATGTCATCACAAGGGTCCTTATCAAAGACAGATAGGAATATCAACATCAGAGGAGATGTGATGACAGAAACAGAGGTTGAAGTGATGCGGCCACAAGCCGACAAATGCAAGCAGCTAGAAAAGGCAAGGGGACAATTCCTCCCTCTCCCTCACCCCCCAGCATCTCCAGGAGGAACGCATCTCTGCCAACACCTTGATTTTAGCCCCATGAGACACATGTCAGGCTTCTGAGTCCCCAGAAGTATAAGATGATAAATGTGTGTTGTTTTAAGCCACTAAGTTTGTGATCATTTCTTACAGCTAACAAATGGGAAACAAATACAATGGTTAACTCATTTACAGCCCTTCTAGGTATTTGAGTTTCTGGCCTCTGGCCTGCCTGCAGCAGGCCATGCGGTCAACAGTATTCTGTTGTGTAGATACACCACAGTTATGGTGGACATCATGTCTTCTCTTTGCCCAACATTCCTTTCTTTTAAAAAACAGCACCCCCCTGCTCCCGCCTCCACCCCAATCCTATTTTTGAGTCAGAGTTGGCCATCATAGCATCCTACATATTCTGGGGACCTTATTGAACCTTGTTAACTATAAATGCCTTATATTCTGCATTTTTAACAAGTTCCCCAGTGATGCCAAAGCTGCTAGTGCCAACACCATTCTTTGATTAGCAAGAGTAGAGGTTGAGATCTGAAGAACAAGTTGGGATGGCTAAATGAAGAGGCGGGTTAAAGATGCAGGTGAAAGGGACAGGCATATGACAGGCCTTGAGGTAGGAGGGGTCCAGGTGCATTCAACAAACTGGGAGCAGACTGGAAGGGGCTGGGAGCATAGGCAGGGACAGACCATGCAGGGCTTGGAGGCCCAGGTAAGAATTCCAGCTCCTGGTCCAGCACCCTGGCTAAATCTAACATGGTCCCACTCTCGAGGAGCTCAGAAGGGAGAAGGGAGACTTACCCAACCAAAACTCATGCAATAAACTGCCCTGTGTCTCTAAAAGAGGCTAGCACCAAGCTCTGTGGAAGCACAGAGGAGGGAGCCCTGAGTGCCTCCATTGGGAAAAGATGACCTTTCAATGGAGCCATGTATCAATTAGAATTAGTTCAGACACATACACTTACACAGTGGCTCTCAGCTATGGCTACCTGTTAGCATCCCCTGAACAGCTTTTAAAAACACTGATGCCTGGGGCCGGCTGAGTGGCTCAGTTGGTTAAGAGCTCGCTCAAGAGTGTGAGCTCTGAGCAACAACGGTTCGATTCCCGGCCCGAGCTGAGCAGCCGCTGAGCTGCCAACTAGTAGCAGGATGGCTCAGCTTAAAAAGAAACAAAAGAACAACAAAACACTGATGCCTGAACAACACTCCAGACTAACTAAATTGGAATCCCCTGGTGTTGTACCTGGCTGTGTCTGGTTTTCCTATTGTTTTGTTTTGTTAAGCTCTTCAATGGATTCCAATATGTAGCCAAGTTTGTGAACTACTAACATAAGAGAAAACCCAAAATAAAAGTGGCTTAAACAAGAGGGAAGTATATTTTTTC